TTGTATATTTCAAAAAATCTATCGTTACTGATAATATTTCGTTATTGTCAAGTTGTCCCAAGCTTATTACCAAACATGATGAAATTTGTAATGAATTTTGCGGTAAAAAATAACGAAAAATTCTCTCTGTGTAGCAGTAAATAAATGAATCTGAAAATTTACATCAGTTGGGTTTTAAAAACGTTTTGGCTGTACAATAAGAATATATCAGCCAAAAATCAACTGAAAAGACTAATATAAACTAATTTTTTTAGCATAAAAGTTTTTATCATAAATACTCCCTGAAACCAACTGCAAAAAAGAAATCAGTAAATAAATTTAGCTTATAAATTATAATTAGCTTTATAAAGTGATCTATTTTATTGCAGTTTTAGTTAAATAATTTTTAAATAAGTATATAGATTCAAATAAACTTTTGTGTGTGCACAAATATTTATTAGTATATAAAAAATAAGTAATTTTATTAATATATATAAAAAATTAAATGATTTTTAAACCAATAAGAAAATTATACTTAAATTTTAAATAAATAGCAGATGTAATAATAAAATATATAAGAGAAAGAAATTTTTATATTTTGATAATACTTTTTAAAATGTGAAACATATACCTACATGCTTGAAAACAATGAATTATCTCCTATAGGTAGAGCAGATTTCTTTTGATTCATTAAAACTGCTTTTAAACAGATAAAAAAAGTTTAAAATAGCATCAATCAAATTTATTTATTTATTATATATATTTTATTTACTTTTTCTACATACATGCAAAGTTATATTAAAATGAGAATTTTAGACACTATTGTTTTACCGGACCTTCACCGAAATATTGCTCTAACAAACTTTAATTTTTTAATTAAAAATATTTATTTTTTATGTTTAATAAAATATGTATGAGTTTTAACGATAATTATATTGTAAAACACATATATATTTTTTATTAAATAGTATAAAGCTATTATAATTTATAAGATATTTCTTTTTTGCAATTGGTTTCAGGGAGTATTTATAATAAAAACTTTTATGCTAATTTTTTTTAGTTTATATTAGCCTTTTCAGTCGGTTTTTGGCTGATATTTTTATTGTACAGCCAAAACATTTTTTAAACCCAACTGATGTCAATTTTCAGATTCATTTATTTACTGCTATGAATGCAGAGTCACATTAAAATCAGAATTTCCGAGTTGACAAAATTTAAAAAATAGTCTTTGTCTATATATAGTATGATTAATGATAATTTTTTACGGAACACAATCCATTAAACAGTATATGAAATCAAGTAATTTATTAATTATACTCTACTGATTAGTAAGCTATGTTAAGAACATGCAAATAGTATGTACGAGATTTAAATATTCAAGAAGCAATTGTTTGTGACTGACATATCGATAACGTTATCTTAATAAGCATGTTAATGTTTTATGTATTGCATGTAAAATCTAAAACAATCTAAAATAAAAGAAAGACTAAGTACAAGTTTTTAATATTCAATAAGTAACTATTTAATATATATCGACATATCTCAATAACTATATGAATACACAAAAATATATAATGATTTATGTATTCTACATGTGAAATTTAAAATAAAAGAAGTAACTGTTAATATATTTAAGATTGCGCCTTTTTTATGTTAGGTGTGTATATCCAAATGGTTTGCGTAACTTAAATGACAAACATAAGTGCTCATTAAATCAACTTTTATCTCGCAGATGTGTCATATCCCCTGTGCAGTACATAAATTATTATATTATCAATCGTATTTGTAAATTTATGTGACAATTTTCTAACGATTTTTCTAACTTATAAGTATAACAGTTTTTAATCGACAGTTTAATAGACAATCATAATAGATGAAACTGTCTTAAATAAACTCAACTGTCTAAATTTTTAATCAGACTAAACATACAACATTTTGTATTCTCTTATAGAGAAGTCCAAATTAAATGAATTAATACAACAACAGCATAATAATCGTAAAATCAATATATATAATAAAATATTAAAACGAGAAAGACGAAGATATATTTTTCTCTCCTCGAGATCAAACAAATTTGCTCTATACGATCTCTGCAATTTTTCAAGAAAAGAACTTTTAAACTTTCACTTTCGGGGCGCGGTCGCTTTTTCGGTGATGTTTCTAAAAATAAAAGGGACCACGGGACCGACGGATAGTTTGCCAAGGGATTGCGAGAGCAAGCATTTACGCACGTGTATGAAGGGCACGCACCGGCCGGCGTCGCGCACACCCGCATGGCACGCAGACGCGCCAATCAATATCGGACTATACCGGGTGTACACCCCGACCGTCTCGACCGTCAGTCAGCCAGTACACTATCAGCCACCAACCACACCTTCCCAGAACTGCTTTGCCGCCGTCAATCTCACCCTTTTGACGGAGGAAAGACGTGACGTCCGAACCACTGAGCATCGCAAGCTAGCCAACTAACCAGCTTCGTTTCATCCCGCTTATATTGCAAAACGTCACACACAGCACGGGTGGAGAAATTGAAAAGGTATAATACGGAGAACGGAACGAGCCAATGAACTTTATCTCGACGGAGGTAGAGAATCAGATGACGCATAATAGGACTTGTGCTGTGAGCGTTTGTTCAGTGATATATCGGAATTTTGGCGTGTGAAATTGAATTTAAAAAATTCCCCCTATAATATCGGAATGAAAAGTGTGAATAATATTTGCGATTGCTGGTATATCAGTATCTTAATTGTTTTCTCGTTGGTGCCGACATACTAGTCGAAGTGACAGGTGGACGAATGGTGTACTTGAAGCGTGAATGCCCTCTGCCCTTGGAATACGTAGGAATGAATTAATCATTTATAAAACGGAGAATTGAGATTTATAAGAAATAACAGACACGTAGTTAGATGTGGAGGAATTCAAAATTGAAATATTCATTAAAAAAACGTTATCACTTTTTTGTCCTCTTGAAATAACAAGATATAAGATATAAGATAGATAAGACAAATTTTTATCACTTTACACAATACGATCAATTATGTAAAGTGATAAAATAATTAATAATGCATAATATAGAAGCAACATTAGCGTTGTTTAAAGAATGGAATAGATTTATATAATAGAACAAAGAAAGAATAAAAAATACACGAAGCTTGTTGATACCAAAGTTAAATAAACAAATTTAAAAACTTAAAAGAATTTTTAGTGTGCTAATTTTAACTAAAATAGTAATTAAATTTACTTTAACGGACACATATTTATAAACATATTTATAATGTAAAAATTTTTTGGCAGATATATGTTAATATTGATTTTTTAAGCTGATTTTTTGGCTGATACTTTTAACTGATGTTGTACAGCTAAAAGATTCTTGTATATATTCAATATGCTAATATCTTCGTCCAAATTTTCCAATTAAAATTTAAACACGCTAAACAAGTACAATCCTTTTCACAATATTATATCTTTCTTGTTAATTAAAAACATTAATCCAAGAATACTGATATGTTATTGTCCAATTATACCTTCAGGTACGAGAAAAGATAAAAACTTAAAGAAAATGGAAGCAAAAGGGCGAGTTGCCCTAATAACAGGAGCTGCATCCGGCATCGGTAAAGCGTATGCCACCGAACTGTTGAATCAGGGTGCCAAGGTACATTATAAAATTATAATTTAGAAGAAAACATATATATTTAATAATCCTTTATAGTCTCATACTTTTTGTATCGTAGAACTATTCTCGAAAGAAAAATTTATAATGTCACTATTTAATTTTTCAAAGTCATGTTTTGTTTTCACGACTTGGAATTTCAAGCAAAACGAGCATTCCAAAGATCTTTCAATGCATATTTTTTTTCAAAACATTTGATTTATATTTAGACTTTTCAGACAGAGAAAAAATTGTTTGCGTCTTTGAGAAAAAAATTCGTCATAATTGACAATAAATATATAGTTAAATTGATGATAAATATACACATTATATTATTTATTTTAAAATATTTATTTGAATAGTTTTATTATTTCGTTATGTTATACAATATTATATTTTATGTAATCAATTTTTTTATTGATAAATATATTATTTCTGCT